GGAGATGATGTATCATTAACCTCACATTTAAAGTCTCAGGAATAAGCTCAGGAGTTTGGGTATGAATGATGACTTTGGACCCTTTGGAACAGGTAATTTTTTTGTTTTGGTTCCATTTCTAATTATATGGATATTAATATCCTATGTGCCAGATTAATCCCTTAGGAAGGTCATCTGCAGCAAGCTTGTATCCACCCAGGTGTTAGAGACAATTCCACCATRATCCCATGTGAATTCTCCCATAGAAAGAGCTAAAGATTTCTACTGCTAATATACCCTCAAGCCTCTGAAAACTCCATGTTCATCTCCAGTGCTGGTCAGCAGCAGTGAATACTTGGAGAACATCAAGTGTCTYTTAAGATACTGAGTATTCATCACGGGTTGGTGAGTGTGGTGCCTTAGAGCAGCAGAGGTGGCAAGAAGGGTCCCAGCATTTTCCAAGGAAGGCCCATCTGTAGGACTATAGGATGTGTTAGGATGTTGTCTGGTAATGTGATCCATGAAAAAGTGTCCATGGTGGCAAAGTCATGTCCTGCATGCAAGCAGAATTGCTTGGGCGCTTGCTGATTTGCATTCCAGAGGAGGTTGTATCATTCAGGATGGAAARAAAAAGCAAATCAGCCCTTTTTTTAAACAAGCTGCTGAAGCACCAAGGACCTGCCCACCTTTTATTTACTGTAAGGCCTGCAGTCCCTGTTGGCAGCACAATTGTGTGTGTCTGCACAATTACAACATGCTGCTCCTGGCCTCTCAAAGGAAGGCATTCACTTGTTGCTCTCTCCAGCTCTGTGAAACCATAGATACATCTGCTGGTATCATCCAGTCCGCAGCGTTTCCCCAGAGAGYGAGGATCCCCACATTGTCATCTCAGCACAAGAAGTGGCATGCATTTATTATTAATCAACCTTTCTGCTGAGTGAAAGTCTGGCTGGTCTCTCCTCATATAGTGTAAATCCCTGTCTGTTTCTATTACAAGGCTTGCACAAAGGAACATTTTTTTCCCAGTCTTTCTTACAGAAATGGGAAGACTTGAATGCTTGTTTTATTTTTTAACTGGGTCTTCTTTTGAGTGACTGGGATTTTTCATGGCTGTATCGAAGTTGGACATTCCCCTTTGTTTTGGGAGCATTTGGTGATGGATCACATTTTAATTGGCGTTGAGGTTTACAGAAAAAGGGAGCACCACAGGAAGTTATTAGAATAACAACACTGCGCATCTGCACAGGAATTAAAACTGCAAATGTAGGGGGCATATTAATTGCTACCAAATACTTTGTTTTTCTCCTCCTCAATAAGCCTAGCTCAACACAATAAGTTTTTTGATGTATATTCTTTCTGGTTTTCTATTCTAGTGAAAAAATGTGATTAGAATTGTGAGCTTTTTGTGCATAAAATTTCTTATATAATGTTTCAAAACATATGCAAAGGAGGTAAACGTTTATTTGGACAAAGGKGATGTTGATGGTTGGAGATAGATACGTTTAGTCCAAGATTCATTTCCAACAGAGTCTGAGCATGTTCTATATACAAGTTCCTGCCAAAAATGGTCAGAATGTTTTGCCTTTGCTTTCTATTTTTCCCCAAGAAGTTATTGATATGTCAGACATAATTTTTKTCATTGCTGAAAATGGAAGCAATTTGGCAATTGCAAATAATTTCTTTAATGTATTTGATAGTAGAAAAAAACAAGAAAATGAAAGCAAATAKTGTTTACAATATCCATAAATTATTTTTTTTCTGTTCATGGAAAGAGAGGCCTAGTAATACTTCAGAGAGCCTGTGTCAATGACACAGCAGTCAGAGTCACTGCAGTCTGTTTTTTTTGTCTTTATTTTAAGATATTACTCTGATATTCAGAATTATTTCATGAGCATTCCCATATGCTAGTCTCCTTAGATTTGATGATACTCTTCCCAAAAAAATGCATGAGGCAGTCTGTGCCAGAGATTCTGTAGAAGGACACATTTTGATATTTAAAGAACAAGATAATTTATGCTTCCATTTGCTGATACCAGCTTGCTCTGCAGCCTGTTGCTTTCCTTTCCTAGTTGTAATGTAGGAATCATAAGGATGACTCCTTTTGAAAAGGACTCGGATTGTTTTGACATCTGCAGAAAGTCTAGCTATCATCAGCTGAAAATCAGCACTTTTTTAGTTCTTCACATGCATTTTATGTATCTAAATATTTGCAGTTTCAACCCTGAGAGATAGTATTTCCATGCTCTAAGGTGATTTGGCACTGGAATAAGTCCATGATATGTGCCCCAGGTGGATGCAAAATGACACATGAAAAAGCAAACCCATGCAATAAAAACTGCTGTTTTGGTGTTCACTATAAGGATGCTCCTCTCAGTCTCTGAACTTCTTCTGAACTGAAAGATCATCCTCMTACTCTAGATCAGCTAAAAATATCTTATAGCTGTCTTGCATAGAACACCAGCAAAAATAAAAAGAAATAAATTCATTGGATTATCTCAGCTCTCCAARGGTGCAAAAGCCCACAGTTCTACTCAGCCCTTGGCTTTGCTCCCAGCTAGACTTGCCTGAAAAATCTCCAGTGACACAGGTGGTATTTTAGTGAAATAAACAGTGCCATGGGGATGTCAAGTGCTGTTTGATAAATTCAAGAAGCACAAGCTTCTCCATGTCCTGGTCTTCCTCTCCATCCTGCACATCTGTGCCTTTGGCATCAGGCCTAGAGGAAGGACACAGCTGAAACAGAAATCTAAGCTAAGAAAGCAGGCAAGAAATATTCCTATCGAATAGGATGCATGTGAAAATCTTGCAGAGAAAAAGGAGGCCAAGACGAGGAACTACTCAAAGAGAGGAGGCATTGCAAAGGATGTGCCCAACTGGCCTTCTGTGCATCTTTCCTGTCAGATACTTAAGTGGCAGCCCCTTTCAGGCCAAAAAATCAAGGGGTTTCACAAGTGGCATCATTTTTCACCTTGCAGTTTTGCAGGTTCCTCAGCTTTCTGCATGTGACAGCCCAACAGCGAAGCTAAGTGTTGTCAACCAGGCTTTTCTGCCTTAACAGATACTTGGGAAGGAATCCAGCCCTGTAGGTTTGTTTCCAGGCATTACCTCATAACGATTGTCTCTAAATCTCCAATGTTTTCACTGTTCAAAAGGGATTGCCTTCATTTGGGAGAATAGAAAGCTGTGACCCTGCATGGCAGCTGCGATGGGCTGTGTTTGCTGGGYACGTTTGTTCCGTGTTGCTGCCGGAGGGAAATTGCTGCTGACTCAGGCTGCTTTCCTCCCTGATTGTATCTTCCCAATATCCCATGGGACACAGCCAGGGATTTTCAGAGGAAATGCCCACTTATGGAAATTGCTGATTCATCAAAGCAACTTGTTCATAAAAATGGGTCCTTTTCATTAATCTTGCAGCTGAAAAAGAAAACTGTTTGCTGTGGCATTCAGATAACCTGGTGTGTAGTTAATTTAGAGAGCAGGACTTGGAAGACTTAGTGGACATGGGGAAGCAAGGAATTAATGTTTCTGGGCTGAATTAGGTGTACTGCAATTATGGCTACAGTTTATTATGAAGATTCTGTGTTTTAAAATGCAGAATCACAGTTAGACCTTTAGGGAAAAGTATGGGGGAGTGTTCATCCAGGCTGCTGCTTTGAGTCAGTCCTCATGGGTCCAAGTTCATGCTCTGGCAGGCAGATTGCTCCTGTCCCTATACATTAAACATTCCCACAAAGCTGGTGAATGCATGACACATGCTCTGCAAAGAGCTTGAAATTATCTGAAGTCAGATAATTCAGCCCTGGCTATGCAGAAGGTATTGAGGAGTAAAAACAAACAAAAATATGAACCTCACTGAGAGCTTCAAACTGTGCTATCAGTTTTGAAATTAGATGCAACTTAAAAGTTGGATCAGGTTGGTTGGATTCATACCCAGTTGAGTTTTGAGTGTCTGCAGATTGCAGTGCTTCTCCTGACTTTTTTTCTATGTCCATGCACAGTCTTTTTCTAATATCTAGAACTTTCCTCATTCCTCTGCCAGTACTCCACCCATTTTCCAAGAGTATCTAGTACCTCTCCTTCATGAAGCAGTGCTAAATCCCTTTTTATATGTATATAAATTACCTAATGTTTGAATTCCCTTGTGCCAGTGTGAACCACTCTAATCTAAGTAGGATCTGTAGGGAACAAAGGTGGACCAGAGTGCTTCTCTATATGGGTAATTCTTTTCTTCCCATGATGATGATAGAGTGAAAACCAAGCCCCTGTCTCTGATGCTGCAATTTCAGCCTCACTGTGTCTGCAGGAGAGGTGGGGCAGCAGTGGATCTGTTCAGAAGAGCAACAGGGATGCAGGACCTCCACAATCCACCAAGAAAGGGTCTCTAGGTGAGCTGGAAGCTCGTGAGCTGTCTCAGCACTTGCTCTGCTGTGTTAGAATGAAGGAGATGCCAAGTTCATTAGCATATTTAGAGCCACAGGATAATCGGAAAGAGACACAAAAAAGGCAATGTGAACATTCAATGCACTTGGTTGCGCAGAGGGCCCCGTGCCAGTGCTTCCCACCACATCCTAGTGCCGGCTGGGTCCCTCTCCCAGCCCCTGGACACCCAACCTCGCCTCGGTGCTCAAAGCCATCCTAGGGAAAAGCCAACAGCACTCCAGAAAAACACAACACAACGCGAGTSCCCTGCACAACAATGGTCTGTCAGGCATGATTTAGTGTGCGAGCAGCCAGCGGGCAGGCTCCGCTGAGCAATCTGAATCCGCTGCGTTCCCACACTGTGTTGCTTTCCTGGGGCTCGCCGGGACACAAAGACRCTAGGAGATGGGCAGTAAATAAAAGTGATGTCTTTTGTGGCATTGTGTGGGGGCCTTTCTCTGGGGGAGGCAGGATAAATGGAGTGTGAAATGTGATATGAAATCAATTTCTTCTCTGGGGGCGTAGGGAGGGTGTAGGTGGACTCTGCGGTTGCAGGGATACCCGGCAATATGTTTTTCACYGGTTTGTTTTCCTGGTTGAAGGGAGCAACAACTGCCTCTGCCCTGCAGTTGCCCAAGCTTCTGCTCTGTGTGAAAGGTATCCAGGATCTGCACAAGGTACAAGGAATCTGCACCCCCTTGGGATGCCTGCCTATGTGGAGAAACGGAAGAGCGGAGCAGCCGCTCTTCTCCAGGACAGCAGTGCCCAAGCCTGGATGGAAAGCTGGGGCAAAGGACATCTTTTCCCCTGGTCTACAGCCTGTGGGCATTTCTTGCAGACCTTTCTGCCCTTAGCAAAGCCTGTGTCTCTGTCTTGCTACTGAGTCATTCTCCACATCTTCCACAYGGAAATATTAGAAAGGATTTTGGTAGAGGAGCAAACATCTCATGACTGAAGTGCGTCCTCACTTGAGCTAAATGTAGCCCTGTGGACGTCAGCAGGGAGCATGAACCTGTCAGTGTCTGAAAACAGCACTCTGAGTGCGGCGGGTTTTTTCTTCAACCTGTTTCTGCTGCGTGGGATTTCCGCTAGGATAGATGCAGTTATACAAAAAAAAAATGAAGATCAAACATGATAGTTTGGAGGTAATAGGTAAAAAGAGCAACTATACCACATATGTGGATGAGATACTTTACCGATACATTGACAAACAACTTCATAAATGAAGTTATACTGAACATGATTGCCTCACTAGCACTCTCCAGGATTTGTGCTAATAATTTTGTCCYCTCCATATGTTATGCAGTTGGACATTTTAAAAGCAATTTTTTATGAATATTTGATTTTACTTTTCATTTTCTRCCTGGTTTAGAATAATCAATTCTGCATCATTTTCAGATTTTCTGCTTTCCAAAGCCTGTGGCTTCCCGTAACAACCAGTTATTAGGCTGAATATCAACTAGGGCAATTCCGTCTTCCCTCTTTGTCTTTCTYTCACTGTCCCAGATTTTATCTTCACATATTTGTGCTAAGCCTGGGTGTCACCGCACAGTAAACAGTGGGGATGAGGCTCTCCAGGAGGTGCTGYATTGCATCAGTGGCTTTTGCATTTTATATTGAGCTCCCTCCACTTTGGTGAAATGTGGGGTGTGCGGGTTAAGGCTCTCGTCACACCGCTACACCTGGACCAGTTTGCATGGCTTAGGAAACAAAAAAGCAGCTTTTAAGCTAATTGAATTGGTTGTTTGGCAGCTGCTTTGTATCAGTGAAACCGCAGGGCAGCCAGAGCACCCCAGCGATTCCGGCTCTCGGCAGAGGGTTGGATTTCTCCCTGCAGCGGGACAGTCGTTCAGATTAAGCTACACACTGGGTTTCCCTCTTTAGTCAAACGCCTGCCCCAGAGGATTAGCCCTTCCTGACACAGGTCCAGCTCCGTGGATAACCTGCCTCCCTCTTCCGACGGGCTGCAGGGGAAACGYTCATTTTGACACCTTTCTGTCTGGATGGCCAAGTTACAAGGGGGATCTTGCCACCGATGACGAGATGAAACGCAAAGCGGAGTAGCACAGCGGGCCTTTCTCTGCTTGCGTTTTTCTTTCCTTGTATAATTCACTGGTTAGGTTGAGGAACACGCTACAGCACAGCTGCAGTGTTACCTGTCGCACCTTTTAATCCAGTTAGGACGCTCTGATCTTGAAACTGTAATAAAATAAGATCAAGCCACCTTAAAATGCCAGTTTTAGAAAAGCAGCTTTTCTTTTAACTTTCTTTGAGGTTTCTCATCTGTCTTCCTACAATTTCTGGTATATTTCAACCATAAATTCCCTCCAGATGTTTGTAACACCTGCAGTTGCTGTGTRGTTACTGATAGCAGAAAGGACAGTGGTGTCTTCAGGAGGCGAGGCTGTGATTCCTCCCAGGAATAGCTCGGGGTGTTGGGCTGCTTCTGCAAMTCACTGCAGCCCGATAAAGGCATCGGCTCTGTGCTCAGCACRTTGTTACCTCCTTCAACACATGGAACAGATTAGCTGGACCCAACAACGTTGTTAAATAAAATACGCAAAAGGAAAATACAATTATTGCTAAAGTGAAAACATACCACATGGGATTATTAAAAGAGTAAGATGTTTCACATTTTAAGGATGTTCTTCGTTTCTTTCCATCCCTGATGCACTGAWACCTTGCAAGGGGAGTGTTCCTTTTCCCTCTGATCCCATGTAGYTCTCTCTCTATGGAACTGTGTAATCTCCAGGAGGGACAGGGCTGTTCTCGCTCCTCCCAACCACGCACCTCAGCCRCCCAGCTGGGTTTCTGGGGTCCCAGTTAGTGCTCGTGACTCTTTCCCCAGGTACCACTGGAGCAGGAGGCTCAGCACAGCCTGTCAACTCTGCAAAGTGCAGGTTTCTTCTATCATGCCCTGGTGGAGCATAACGAGCAAGAGGAGCTTTTCCCTTCATGAGAAAACTTATCTGGTTGTGGTTTCCTACCAGATGCCATCTACACTGGGCTGTACGTGTGGTAGAACAGAACCAGGCCTCCTAAACTCTCAAGTGCAGTTTATTCTCTGTGGTAATCTCAGTTTAAGTGGCTAAGAAGCCCCTTAGAATCATTGCCAACTGTAGTAGCTCTAGCAAAGAAGATTGTTTGTAAAGTGACCTGCAAAATTTCTAGGTGTAGCAACAGACCCTTTGGATTGCAGATGTTAACTCCTAATGGCAAGGAGACATTGCATGAAGATGGAGTGCAGAGGTAGAGTAAATGTTGCTATAGAAAATAGACCAAGGTTTAAAACACTGTGGGTGATTCCAAAATGAGGCCCCTGCTCATGGAGGGAGGCAGTGTTGAGTTAATGAGCTTGTCTGAGCATTTGCTTAATGACTTTTCTGGATCTGGCCACAGGAACGTTGTCCCTTGCACCTTCAGGTGCTTGATAATAAATCAGCCTTGGGAGGGGAGTTTTGATTTAAGTTGATCCATTAATGTTAGAAAGTCTCTCCTGAGCATCACTTGATCTCCTTAATGTTCCTCAACCTAAATCATCCCATTAATGATGTATGAAAAATCTGTTCAGCTCCTTGGAATACCTCTCTTCCATTTGCTTTTAATGACGGGGGGGAGTCCAGATGATTGGTTGACTGATGACAGAACTTCTCCCCAGCAATCCAGATTGGCTTTTCACCAGCCTGTCACTCGCAGATGTCTAACCTCTGGAAATGAGCACCTCTGGGAGCGAGGTTCAGCAGAACACATCTGTCCAGCAGAACTACTGCCGTGCTCGTGGCTGGCGAGAGAGCAGGGGGGCAAGAAACACAGCCAGGGCTACAATGCTAATTAATTTGAAAGTCCACTTATTAGAATCTACTAAACAGAACACAATGAATAGAAAGCACCCACTTAAAATGGAATTTTCTTCAGCCACATGGAAAATTCCATCTGTGTTAATTGCAAAAAAAGAAAACTGAAGTTATATTACTGATAATTGCAGAAATTAGTGGATCCTGCTTCCAAAACTGTCCTACCACAGGTATTTTGTCAGTAGTAGAGTGAGAATATGTGCTGGTGGCTACCAACAACGCTCAGAAGTGATGTAAACATTCCTAAAATAAAGTCCAATATATTTTTGTAAGGTAAGATGTGTACCTTCAAAACAACATTTGTAAGAAAATCTGTTTAACAGGAAGTTAATGGGATCACCAGGGTGTTTTTTTCCTATTATGATACCTTGAAAATACATATGGATGTGTGTATACATACATACATATGGATATATATAAACATTTGTTTAAAACATTGTCATTTCCTGTTCTAAGAAAAAAAAAGTCTGTGGTATGTCCAATATACTGCTTTTTTTCATAGACAGAAATATTTCTTTGGTGGAAAACTTTTTAGAAAACTAAATATTAGGGAAAGTATTATGGAATGTATTTGCAATGGCAAAGATAATACCCAGGAATATGAAACTGCTGACCAATATATTGCATTTTAAAAATGCCGTGCAAATCTGTGTAATTCTTTCACGGATCTGATGAAACTAAATGGAGATCCTTTTGCTGATATCTTTCTTTCCTTGAAAAAAACAACCTGCTGATAGCACTCAATATTRTAAGTACGTGGGAAATTTGAATTCATATCACTGAAGTGCAGGTCCTAGTGATCCGATAGAGAGCCTCCCAATATTGCTTTAAGTGCACCAGTTTCATAAACATCTGTGTGGCCAAACCCTGACATTAATGGAGTCTTCTTGTTAATTAAATGAGCTTCCACACGCATAGAACATGTGATCTTTTTTCAGTCCCACCGATGAATGTGATGGCTAGTGACTGAAATAYAGGGTCTCATCACTGCATTGGCTTCAGCTCAGAACTGAGGTGGTGAATGGGTTATGATACCAGTGGGCTGGATTTAAACCCATGCTGTGTCACAGCCATCTCAGGTAGCTATATCAAGTCACTTAATCCATCAGTATCTCAGCTTCCCCAACGTGAATGCAGGAAGAAAAGCATTTTCCTACATCACATGAAGTGTTCAAGTGTTCTGCAAAGAGGCCTCTATGATGTACTTAGGGATTTCCTATATGGAAGCTTAAACAGCTAAAATCCTGTCAGAACCCCTCAAAACGTTCCAGTCCAATAAAGTTCAAATGGGGAATAACACATTTGTTAAAACAGGCAAAATTTTATATTAAGAGGATGACATGGCCAGGAGACCATACATACCTCAAAAGAAAATGAAGACAAGACTATCCAGCCAACGTAAACTGTATTGGCGTGGTCAATGTTTTTAAGATTTTAGAGACACTTGGAATGAAAGAGGGAAAAAAAACACAGCCAAGTCTCAGGCATTGCATAGTCTATGTACACTTCAGGAGGAAACTTGGGTTATGAGCAAATATTTTAGTACAAATCAAATGCCTTCCAGGGATAAGCAGCTGGGAAGGCGGGAAGAAATTAATATTGGAAGCTTTAGAACTTCCCAGAACTATTCTCTAGCTCCTTGATTGAAAGAATTAACCATTATTTTACTAACTTTTTAATGCCCTCATGCAGTCCAAGGTGCTCCCTCTGAATTGCCCCTTTCCCCTCCCCCAGAAGGGTTGCCCTGAGGATGTTGCTCCTCTTAGGCTTTAAGTAGCAGCTGGCTGTGATTAAGTGGATTGGGAGGATCAGTGCTTGATTAACTTTCTGCTGCTATTGGTTTGCCCAAGTTCCTGCAAGAGAATTAATCTTCTGGTTCGGCAGAATGTTGAGCCCTAATGGATACCAGACCTTCCAAGCCCACCCAGAGCACACAGTGCCACARTCCTTCCTTTAACACGTTGGGGTTTTAGTGCTCCTGTCCTTTCTAAGGTAAGAGTCCCACTGAAGGACATTTTTCTTCTTTGCTTTTTTTCAYATACTTCTCTCCATCATCTACCTAGCTCTGAATCTTGGCTTCTTGTTATCTGGCTATTGTCTTTCTCAGCTTTACGTGCAGGTGGACACTTTTCTACTACTTAGAAGAAATCAGACTCTTCATAAGGTCAGCTGAAGTGAGGCATGTGTGCAAGTGTTGTGCTCCATGAAAATGCCCTTGTGTTTAAACTAGTCCACATGCGTTCYTGAACGGAGGTCTCAGCACAGGCCGGGCACACAACCCGTAGTTGGCTGGAGTCTCTCTACTGCCCCTATGACCCTCGGTCAGGCCTTTGGAGAGCAAGGGACAGGGTCTTCAGCATGGACAGTGTTGGAGAAGGTTGTGTCCTTGATGTGCCATGAGCCTCAGAGGGCCTGCCCACCTTTTTGTCATCAAGTTAGACACTTATTAAGGCCTTGACCACTCTGATGGTCAAGTCTAGGACAGATTTTTTTTTCCCCCTTTTTAAACCTAAACTGGAGAAAGGTGCAGGGAAACCAAGATGTGCACAGAACTAAAACAAAATACAGGGGTCATGAAGTCTTCA